ACGGCGGGTGGGGGTCCCCTCGTTGCCCCACGCCCGGAGCCGCCTTACTGCCGCCCGCAAAGTGAAAAGCACAAAAGCAGACCGCCGACAGCCGAGCCGAGAGGGTTAGGCGGGAAAGGCTCCCTCGCACTTGGAGGCCTCCATCGTCGCATTCACCTTTGCTGCCTTATAGTTTCACTTAACGCCCGTAATGTCAATACCGGTGGTGGGGGAACAGAGCAGGGTTGCATCCGGACACTCTCTGGTGCCCGAAGCGGTGCCTGGGATTTTACGTTTGCTGCGAAGCGTGTGTTACGTTTGCTTGAAGTCCTAATGATGGGCTGCTGGATCTAAAAAGCAGTCAGCTGTTAGTTTGTTTACTTCTTTCGAATGTTTTGTTTTGGGAGGGAAACAGTCTAATGGATCTTGCTTTTGTTAATTTCCTTGAGTTTGTTTGTGTTCTGTTTCCAGTACTGTGGGAAAATGAAGCTGGGGGACAAAATATGTATATGACAACTGAAACTTACGAAAATGGTACTAATTGTGTAATAGTTTGTAAAGACCCTTGTTTACAAAATAAATCGATGATTTTAATTGATAGCGACCCTTTAAGTATTGTGTATCTGGCTTGTTATGCAGAAAGTATTGTGGATATTAAAGAAGTGATGCAATAAAACCAGGGAAAATGCCTAGCAGTCATGTCCATCTTGTTTTGACAATATCTGCGTATTTTACTAATGAAAAGATAAGGAATCTCATCCTGCAGCTCATTTTGGAAGGTCCATCTGTTCAACTTTGATCACCACATGTATCTCTTGTGTCTCACAGTTCTACCCGCGTAACATTTACAGACCCCTTAAAATGTATCATCAGAACAAATTCTGAGATCTTTGTGTATACCTTTAAGATTGCTGGATGGATAGCTTGTTTTTCAGCATGTTTTTCATGGTTTAAGAAGTTCTTACCTCCTCAGTCCAGCTGCCTCTCTGCTAGAAATTACTGTTCCCTACAGTAGAGCTGGTGGCCTGAAATGCGTGCCCTATTTTAGTCACTCTTGTGCAAAGTATCATTTTAGTTTAAACTCATTTTTATTAGCCCTTCAATCTAAGCCGTTGGACTTTGCATTGTAATAAGTTGAGTACGGGCTTATGTTTGTTCTCTTAGTTACTCTGGGGAAGAATAAAGGTGAGCAGGCAGTAATGTTTAGTAGAAAAGTAACAAACAGGAGGTAGCATCTTAAATTGCTGCAGGTGTTTGCTAAGCAAGCTTAAGTTGTTGCCTGTTGTCAATTACAGCAAATCACAGGTGAATAGAATATGTTATATGTTAGGACATGGATGTTTAGTCTTCAGCTTCTTTGCTGCCATAAAGTGTAAGATCCGGTGTATTAAAAATAATTACTGTTTTTAGGATGTCTTACTTTATTAATCTTTTTGTTTGTCTTAAAGTGTGCAACCTTTGCTTTATTCACATGTGTTCCAAATAGCAAGGATAAATACTGTTTCATGCTTCATTCTACCTCAGTATGAATGACTTTCATGAGAACAAAATGTGTAACTTTAATGTTGCAACCAGTTACAGGGAATTAGCAGTTTGTAGAATATCCATTAGTTACTGACCAATGCTTGTAAACTGAGTGTTAGAAACAACAGAAAACTGCTACTATTGCCATGAGTTGTTCATACTCTCGGTATAGAACACTTCCTAATATAGTAGTCCACATGTAGCATTTTGTAAGGAAGTAAATACAGTATGTATTAGTGTCTTTAAATTAAATGGATGTTTTCAAAAATATCTTCTAACGGTTAATAGTTTTAAGTACAAGCTCTTCTGCCCCACTTGATGGTGGCATGTTTACGTTACCTTGAATCATTTATGGCTTTGTTTGCTGAAACTGTCAAGCTCGGTTTATTTCTTCTGTGCGTAAGAATATGATTGAATATATTGTTAGCATTTTAATAGGTTATTAACCCCTCTTTTCTCCCACTTCTCCTACTGTGGTCTGTTGTCCACGTACTGTAGCCTTTTGTGGTGTAATGAGTTAAAATGTGTGCATGCTCAGTTTCTGCATTTCACCTAACTAAGCAGCACGTTCTTAAAGTGTGTTAATGTAGTGGCCTAACTGATTTAACATAAGGTCATGTAATTGCAAGCACTTCTGAAAACGTTGTGCTTAAACTGTGTGTACATCAACTTTCTGATCTGCTTGGTGAATGAAGATGCCTTTCAAAGAATACAGTGATACTGCTGAAAGAACGGCAGCGTTAGCCTTGAAAAGGCATTGTGAAAGGCTGTAAATAGCTACCTAATGAAGTAGTGAAAAAGTAGTACTGATTATGGTTACAGTAGTGGTGTTAGAAACTACAAATGAGAACATGGAGAGATAATCAAACCTTTGGTCCCATTGCGATCAGTGATGTAAGTCCTGTTGATTTCAGTGGAAGCAGAACAATTACAGACTCCTAATGGAAATGCTCACAAGAAGGGCTAGACTGAGAAGTGTCAGAATCGCCCTCAATTTTATCTCTTTTTCTCGTAGTGATGGGATCTTAACTAAAAGAGCCTAGGACATTAGTCTGTTTTATGTTGACATTGAATAAATGGGCTTCATTGAATGTTGCAGAGGTACAAGAAAAGTTACCTATGCTTATTTTTTCTTTATAAACCTGTGTGCGCTTCAGTTACTTTACATTTCTGATCCTTTGTGTGCTTAGCTTTTTTCTTTTGATGTTTGCAGGGTGCATGTGAATTTACATCAAATAAATAGGATATTTTTTAATTTTATTTTCCCCTCTTACCATCCCTATGCAGCTCAAGACAAAAGGAAAGAGGAACATACTAAAATGTCACCTGAAGCTGCCTTGAACAGAATTTCTCCAGCACTCTCGCCCTTCATTTCCAGTGTGGTCAGAAATGGAAAAGTAGGACTGGATGCTACTAATTGTTTACGGATTACAGACTTGAAATCTGGGTGAGTTTCTCATACAAAAAGAATATGCAACTCCTCATAGTTAAGATGTCTTTTCAGGACTGAATTTTACTATGCTCATGCGTGGTTAAGCTTTTCCAATATATCTGGAGCTGACATACTAGCTATGTTATTTTTTTTGTCTTACTACCATTTTGTAGTTTGGGAGACTTAATTTGTCATATTGTTGGCAATAATAATCTTGTTAAAACACTTTCATCGCTGCCACTTGATAGTGCTGGTTTTCAGCAGTGAGATAGTTGTAAACACTCTTTCCTGTTGTTGATCACTTGCTTATTCAATCTTTTCTGTCAATTAAAAGCGTGAAGATTTGCGTGACCTCACTCATAGTCATGAATATGCCAAATGAGAAAAAAATTAACTTTTCCTTGATCTGACCACCTTCAAGATCAGTACATCAAGTGGCTGTAGGGCCAAGTGTTTGAAGTAGGCCAGGCTATTCCTTTTATTTTTAATCCCAGGAGGCCTCATGATGGTTTTCAGATAGTAATAAAGTTTGGGATCTACATGTACGTAGGGACTTTGATGTCTAACCTCTTTGAATAATGGGGGAAGTGAAAGGCTTAAATTAGAATTTACCTCAGGCATTATGCAGAGGGTAGACTCCCAAGGTGGCTGATAAAAGAATACTTGAGACATGTCAGAAATTGCATTTTTCTATCAGAGTTGGGCATCCCTGATTCAGGTGTTTATTTGATACCGGACTTCAGAGCCTGAAATTACTTCAGATTAAGGTATCTCAATCACTGCTTTTGTACAAACTACTGCTTTATGTATCATTTTGAATGATAGCTTAACCCAACAGCTCTTGAGAACCACCACAAAGCACTGTTGTTTAAAATTTAGTTCTGCTGAACACTTTGTTTAATATGCTTCTGTAGCGTGCTTTATTATGGTTTCATGGAGAGTTTGGGAGGTACTTTTCTGGTAGATGCAATGCCTTTTCAGGAAGGAGATGTGAATTCTAGGGTTAGTTTGAAAGGAACCATTCCTTCCCTGTAAGGTTCTGTGACAGAGTACAGATTTACTTGGAGGTCTAAGCAGCTGTAACTTTGTTATTAATGTTGTTTGGCTTGGCATTTATGCTTGCAAATTACGTGAGACAGGCTGAGCAGTTATGCATCTTCTGCTGTCATTTCACGCTAGACCTTGCTTTCTCTTGAAATAGTCTTCTAGGAAGGCTGAGATGGGAGCTATCTTACGTTTCTCCTATTGAATCTGAGAGAAGGGAATACAAAAAAAGGCAGAGAGAAAACACAGTTGTAGTCTGGTGGTGAAGGTATCGGTTTGTCAGGAGGCAGATAAGACTTTTGCTGTCTGCCCCCCAAGTGCTTATGCTGCATGCCTGTAAAATAATAGATTAATGTAAAGTGGTGTTTTCTAGCTGATTCTTTTTCAGAGGGATTTTTAATAAGTGTTTAAAGTTTTCAGCCAGTGATATTACTGAGATCTTGAATTTACTTTGATAAATCCTGAGTGTTTTCCAAGAGTTTATTCTTTAAAAAACTAAAAACTGCCACC